TTCCAGGCAAACTGCAGGAATCGGGCAGGGTGGAGCACTCGTTTGTCTGGAAAGATGATGCAGAAAAGCCCTTTAATGTGGGGATAAAGTGATATTCCATCCCTGCAAGCAACGGCAAGGAAGGAGGAGCCCCTTGGCCCAAACCCCACCATCAGCCTGGCTTCCTGTGCCCAGCAAAACAGGGAGCTCTCCTCTCCTCTCCTCTCCTCTCCTCTCCTCTCCTCTCCTCTCCTCTCCTCTCCTCTCCTCTCCTCTCCTCTCCTCTCCTCTCCTCTCCTCTCCTCTCCTCTCCTCTCCTCTCCTCTCCTCTCCTCTCCTGTTTTATTTACCAAGGAAAATGAAGCACTTCCATTTTACTCTAATATGTCTTTGCTGGTTTTCATTGGAATCTGGGCTGGTTTTGATATTGCTGCCTGGTGCTTGTTTGCCTGGCAAACTGCAAAGAGGAAAACTTTCATTAGAGAGATTCCAGGCCTGTGCTTTTGTGGCCGCGGGCTTGGAAACTTCTCATTCCCCCTCCGTGCTCCTGCAGCCAGAGCAGGGGAGCGCAGCCTCTGTACTCGCGCTGTCTCAGAGGTAAACCCAGAGCACCACCAAGGCCTCTTTATTTCCAACCTTTCCAGCCCCTTTTGACAGCTTTTCAGGTGCTGTTTGCTTTTCCTGCTGCCGTGCAGACGCCCCGGAGGCAGAGCGTCCCCTCGGAGATGGGTCGGGCAGCACCGCGGCCGTGCGGAGCAGCTGTGTCTGCCTGGCAGGGCCGCTCCGCTTGGCAGCCACACAAAGGACTCAGGAGGGGCAGGAAAACAAGGCTGAGAGGGAAAGTCGCTCCGGATAACGCGGCATCTGGCCCTGGGAGGAACTATCTCCAAGCGGGGAGCAGGGCTGGACCGGGGAGAAGTTTGTCAGGGAGGATTTAAGGGGGAAAGCCTGTCTGGAATAGGAATCCACCTGGAATTGTTGCAGGGATTTCCTGGGCCTGGCTCTGGCTGCTGCTGCTCTTTCCCCAGGAGAGGAGCAATCCAGAGCTGCCAGGGGGATTTTGAGCTGCAAGAAGGCAACAGGGTGGAGCTGGGGAACGTGTATTTTCATTCAGGATTAGGTTGGTTTTGTGCATCTTGGTGAGGATGGGGCAGTAGGCAGCAAATGTCAGCCAGGAAAGGCAGATCACAGAGGAAGGACACCAAGGGCTGTCAGCTTTCCCTTGGGAACAAAAAAAGGACAAGGGAAACTTTGTAGCATCAGCAGGAAGCTGTTGTGGGGAACAGAGAAAGGAATGGAAGGAGCTGTAGCAAAGTGATAAGAAAGAGCAACATAGATGCCATAAAAGCACAAAATGCACAATTTTGCCTGTGTGCCAGGGTCCCAGGGACGTGCTGGGTGTTCTGGGGAAGGAAAGGTTCTGCACCAGGAGCTGCTGGCTCATTACAATCCCCGTGAGAAAGGTACTCAGCTCTGCAAAGCTTCTTTGAAAACACTGTTTGTTAAAGCTGACACTCACTTGCCTCTACCACTTGTGCTTTCCACAGAGGTTAAACCTTGCCTTCACCCAAGTCTTAAAAAGCTTAATTTGCAGTCTAGGCCTACCAGAGGCTTTGATGATGTTAGTTGTAGCACCAGAGCAGTTTAAAGTCTCAAATGTTAAATTGGTGCTGAGCAACTTGAAGGTGCATCTGTGGTTATTTTGTATAAGATGCTGGATCACCAGAAATGCAGGGATAAGCATTTGAATATAAACTCCCTCTAGGAAAAGGAACAAACTTCCCACTTCTTTCCCCTTGCTGCTACATGGGGCTCTGTGGTGGGTAAGGGACACTTAGAATACCCCCAAGTCACTCAATTCATTAAGCCTGACAACAATTAATTACATTAAAATTAATGCGCAAATTTAATGTTTTACACACGTCAAAGACATGCCAGGGAAAAAAAGGGTCTTGTTGTGCCATCTTTAATTCTTCTCACTGTTGATGTAACCCAAGGTGATAGGGAACAAGGCGATTTGTGCTCCTCATTTGCAGGTCCCCATGAGTGTTACAGCACAGCTCCGTGCTGACTATTTCACTTTGTTTCCAGATAAAAGGGGACAAACGAGTTTGTTTCACAGCACGGCCCAAGGCCCCCGGCTCTGTGGCAGAGCACCTTCCAACATCCCACTTTGCATGTTGTATTCCTTACACCCTCGCCCAGGGCCATGGCACCGACCCCGGAGCTTTGGGAAGGGAAAACCTCCTTCAAATCAGTCACAGCTCTGGCTAAGCAGGGGCTGCAGGCAAACGCTGTGGAAACATTGGCTGCTCAGAATTCCCAGTGGTTTGGGAGGAGCAGAGGTGAGGAAGTCAAACCAGGAGAGGGAATAGAGAAAATACCAAGAGAAGAAAGGGGAGGGGGACAGAGTGAGCGTTGCAGATATTACACAACTCAGAAGAGGCAGCTGTACCTGGAAAATGGAAAATTCATCATCAGTGCTTCTTGTGGTGACTGAAGAGACAGACACGTCTTCCTGTCCATCCTCCCTTGCTGGAAAACAGCAGTTCACACCTTTATTTTTAAGTTACATCTTAGTGTGCAGAAGGCTTGCAAATGTCACCTGCGTGATAAAATGGCTCTGCTGCATTTCCTGCTCTGTGACTTGGCCACTTGGTGATGGAGAGCTGCTTTTGCTGGCAGTGAACACGGCCGAGCCATCAGGCTGCAGAGCAGGGACTGCAGCTTGTGCACGCAGCCTGGGAGCTGCTGGAGCTGCCGCACTCGGGGCACAGTTTGGGTGTGCAGAGCACAACTCCAGCCCGGGACATCGCACAGGGTGAAACCGCAGGCAGCCCCTCCGAGGGAGCTCCGCTCTGTGGTCACCCTGCTGAGCAGCCAGCCCAGGCCTGAGCACAATCGTGGTTTTGTTCTTGTGGCCACACCTGGCTCAGAACAACTGCAGTGAACCCTCGGAGCACATGGCAGATGGGAAAAACTTGCAGGGGCTTCCTACCCTGCACTGAGTGCCAAAAAACGGAGTAAAGTCATCTTAAATAGAGTCTGAGGCCAAGCAGCAAGTTTGTCTTTTACCAGGATCTTGTGTCTCGTGCCTCCACTGCTGCCTGTGCCCAGAACACTGCAGAGCAAATATCAGATACCAGATCTGACACTGCTCCTGCTCCCAGGACAAACGGTGCTGCCCCACAAGCCTGAGCATCTCATCAAGCCTGGCCCCCACACCTTGCTCCAAAGCTCACAGTGCTTTGTGCTGAAGGAAGAACAAACTTCACAGGACTTTTCCCACATCCCTCTTGTAATTTTGGATATTTTGAAGCTGTCTTTATAAAACCCAGGCAAAACACAGGGGATCTTGTCCTTCACAGTTTTGCTCTGAGCACAGTTTTGTGGAGTTGGTGCAAAGCTGTGAAAAGCACGGCAAGCTTGGAGTGCTCCCATTTCGCTCTCACTTGGTGTGACTGCAAACAACCACAGGATGGAAAATCCCAGAGTGGTGTGCAGGACTTCGCTGCCCTTCCAGGATTCAACAGAAAGGCTGTTATTTACAAATCTGGAAGTGGAGCTTTGGGTTTGCAGAGTTCTCACTCACACGGTGAGGGTTTACCAGTGCAGCCTTTCAGGGCTCTAAGAAGAATTACACAGTTGTAATCACAAGTGCCAGTGTGAAACTACTGTCCCTGAGCATGTAATTCTGAGCCTGGGGCTCTCAGGACCCCTCTCTAACAGACCAGAGCATGGATCAGTTGTAAGGACAGTCAGTGCCAGTCTGGAATTCACCAGGATCGCTGGAGTCAAGTATTTCATGTGGAAATAAAATACAACAGTGTTTCATCTGGTACCAGTCAGAATTTTCAGATGTTTCTTTCATACAGTGCACAGTCAGCAGGGCATGAGCTGGGGGCTCAAAGGCTGCTCCTCTTTTCCCATTCTTCCTCAATTCTCCTTTATGCAGAGGAAATAATCTGATTGCTCCGTGTCTCTGTGATGGAGATGTTACCTGCTTCTCTCTGCAGGGCTGGCCACTCTGGGCCTGGGTCAGTGCCACTGACCAGGAATGTGCCCTGATCTCCAAAAAGCAGGATCAGGCTCTCCGTGTTTGCTGGCACTGCCATTAGGAGCAGTATGAGGCCATGGATGGACATTAAGTAGCACATGCAATAAAAGTATCAGATCTCAGGATGCCTGCTGGTAAAATACACCTGGGGGTCAGGTGTGGGGTATCTCAGGCTGTGCACCTAAGGAGAGATTGTCCAGATCCCAGGCATTTTTGTTGGGATAAATCTGGAACAATTTTCGAGTGCATTTCATATTAATTAACAGAAAGAGCAAACCTGAATATCTTGCAGTGAAAAGGATGAGTTCTGATGGCAGACGCATGCTGGAAAGCTTCATCATTGAACCTGATTTTTAAAAAAAATGTGGTGGGGAAGTTTTAATGCTGCTTGCAAGCAGAAAATGTGCCAATTGTCAACGAGATCCATATTTTTTTTAGTCCCTCAGAAGCTGCAATCCACATTAACCTTCCACCTTCAAGCGGAGAGAACTAGTGGTTTGGAAAAAAAAAAAAAAGAAATAAAGGTTTTTTTTTTTTTTCTTGGCGGCATCTAGGGGGGCGGGTGAGAAAAAAAAAATCTTTTATTTTATAATTATCAACAGGTATTTTCCATGAGATCGGCGGGGAGGGGGTGAACGCGGGGTGAACGCCCGGCCTGAGGTGAGGGGGAGGCGGGAAGGCGGCGGCGCGCGGGCCGCCCTGAGGGCCGCCGGGGCTGGCAGGGGCCGCCGCCCGCCCCGCCGCGGGCACAGCCCGGCCAGACCCGCAACTTGTGCCAAAACTTTCCGAAGTTAATTAAAACAGCCCCCCCCGCGCCACCGCCGGGCTCCGCGCCGCCGCCGCCGCCCGCCCGCCCGCCCCGCTGCCTGCCGGCGGTCCCTGAGGGGAGCTCCATTGTCTGTGAGGGGATGGCCGCGCACCCCCGCCGCGCCCCCGCCCGCCGCGCCCCCGCCCTCCGCGCCGCCGTGCGCGGGGCGCCGGGCGGCCGCGGCGGGTGGCTGCCGGCTCTCCCCCAAAGTTTTTGGATCCGCGTCTCCTCATGATGTATGGATGATATATTGCATTGTGGGTGTCAATATAACTGACGGCCATATTTGCCGGTGCTGCTACTGCTGTAAACAACCCAAAGTGTCTGGGAGACACGGAGACGCTTCGCTGAATTTCAGGACGCTTCTCCTCCTCCCGCTGGCCATGTCTCTGGGAATGTCTTACAAGCCCAACTTGAACGCCCACATCCCCGGGACTCCCCTCAACCCGGGTAAGTCCGCGGCGGCAACTGGGTGGCAAGTTTGGGAGGCGAGCGGCGGGTGCCGCACCGGCACCTGGGGGAAGCCCCGGACTCGAGTTTGTGCCCAGTCCGGTATGGCGGGGTAGCGGCTCCGCGCCGCCATTACCCGCGCCCGCCCGCCCGCCGGCCGGCGCCGCCAGCCCCGCTCCGCGCCGCCCCCGCGCCGGGCACCGCGCCCGCCCGGCCCCGCGCCGCCGCCGCCGCCGCTCCGGGGCTCCGGCCGCCGGGTTTCCTCCATGCTCGGCTCCCCGGGGCGGCTGATTGATCTGGATCAGGAATATTCCGGCGGCGCCTCAGCGAGGACCGCTGCTGGCGGGACGCCGCAAGTGCGGCCGCTCGCCCCGCGCCTCGCCTCGCCTCACGCCTCCTCCGGCGGCGGGGCCGCCCCGGGCCGCGCTCCGCGGGCCGGAGGGGAGCCCCGGAGCCCGGAGCTCCGCCGAAGGAGGCACCGCCGGCGCCTCGGGGCCACCCTCGGTCAGCGCTGCCCCGTCGGAGTCTCCGCGGCATCCCAAGCGGAGGAGTCGCTCCGCTCGCCGGAGACTTTTTGGGGATGGGGGGGCGCGCAGGGATTGCACTATTTCTAAAAAAACCTCCTGTTTAAAAATCACTCCTCATCCATGGATTTGTACAGGAGTCCTTCCAACTTTCCTCTTTAAAAAAGTTTCCTTGACAGCGTTAACTTTTTGCCTTTTTTTTTTCCTTCTTTTTTAAACTACGTTCCTCCGTTTTTCTCTCCCCGATTTCCGAGGGCATCAGCGGGCGGGTTTTTGCCGGTGCTGCGGTGCTGCCGTACATCGGGTCTCCGTGTGTGAGTCGGTGCAGCCTGAACAAAGCCGCAGCAGCAATTGCTTCGCTGTGGGATATTTGGAAGGGATCTCGCTAATCTGTGCTCGTCGGCTCCAATTAAACAGCACCAAAATGGAGAAGTTGGTTCTGACTTAAAAAAATTCGTATTCGTCTCCCATCCCCGCAGCCCAGGCTGCAGGACTGGCATCAGACAGCCACAAATCAGGCTGATTTTTTATTTTTTTCCCTGAGAAAAAGTTTTGGAGTTGGGTTTAGGAGGGAGTGAAATGTGCCTGGGTGATTTTTACAGCACCGTTAGTGGTTGTGATCCTGGGAAGCTGAGGAGCGAAAGGGATCTCCGGGATGCATCCCTGCTCTAGCTACCAGGAGAGCAGCAATCATATTTTACTGCAAGGACTCGTCACCAGCTGGTGGATGAGCCGAGGTGGCGGTGCCACCGCGATCCTGCATGGGGCTGAGCTCGGTGGGGCTGCGAGGGTGCAAAGGCTCGGGGAGCCGGGCTCGTGTGTGGGGAGCACCGTGGGGCTCGAGTGCTGCTCTGCGGAAGGGTCAGGGAGCAGGGGATGTGCCGAGGATTTGTGACAAAAAGCAGAAGTGTCACCGGAGGGGGGAAAAAAAAATAATAAAAAAAAAAGAAGCAAAACAAAGCCCAGCTAAGGGAAGCCGTTCTCCTGCCGGCTCCCACGAGAACCTGTGCCTTGCTCTCCGGAACAGCCGTAAAATTGCAGGGAAAACAAAGGTGGTATTTTGCGATGGTGGGTGAGGGGTGGGGATTAGGTCATGCAGTGGAGGGGATCCGAGTCTGGCTGCTCTGCGAGCAGGGACCGCAAAATCCCGGCTCAGACATGCCGCGCACAATGCGAGCCGGGCGGTGAAGTTTCTGTCTCCAGCCCTCTCGCTGCCGTGTCTGCGCTTTCCAACGCTCCGGCTGCGATCCGGGCTTTGGATTCTTTCATGCAGTTTTATCTTCCCCTTCTCTCCCACCCTCCTTTTCCCCTTGTATCGGCAAGTTAGCAGCAGTTTGCTGTCATGCTGGAACTATTCTTGTCTAAGTTGTCCTCTCTATTGAGTTCGGATCATCCTCAACACCCCCAGAATCTTTTCAATGAAAGAACGTCCTCCTCTGAATCCAAAATGGGCTCTCTCTTCCCTCCCTGTCTTCTGCCATTATCCTCACGCACCAGCTCTTCCTCTAGCTAGTGGTATTGCCAGCACCGTGGCCTAAGGCCAAGGGACTTAGACAAAGCAGTCCTTGCAGTTGCACATATCGCATTCAGAGTGATACGACTGCAAATGGCCCCCTCCTTTCTGGAGCTTAATTCTGATTTGGAGGAGATTGCTTCTCTATTGTGCCTAAATTAAATGCCCCCCAGCCAGGAGGATAAATCCTGGGTTTGCTTCCAAAACTGGGGTGAAGGACCCCCACCCCCCACCCCCCCACCGTCCTGCAGAGGAGAGGAAAACAGGAAATCTGTCCCTTTTGGCCTGAAATCAGCCCTGCAGAAACCTCTCTATATGAATGCTGAATATTTTGGTCTCGGCCGACGGAGGGCTCTGGGCAGCTGTGGATCTCACAGGGATTTTCCTCTGGGAGGTAATGCTGCTTCCCTGCAGTGCAGGGCTTCTGGTGCAGGAGTATTTGGGAAGGCAGTGTCGACTCAGCTCTTGGAGCCGCGTCCTTGCTGCAGAGCAAACTCCTCTCAAGTTGAGGCTCAGAGTAGCCACTCTGCAAAATTATACTTAAACTGCACATCAGTCAGATGAAGCAGTTGTGGTTGGTGGGTGCCTGGGCTCTGTTCTTGCATGGGAGCATGCTTTGGGAATCCAGTCCTGGACTGAAGTCCAGAGGGAGAGGAGCTGGATGTGGGGGAGGAAATACGGGGAGGAAACCTCTGTGGGTTGTCGGCAGATCTGGGGATGACTGTGGGTGAGGAAAATGCAGCTGCTCCACAAGTGACTCAGGATGCTGGAAGCATCTGGGTGCTGACTCCTCTGCCTTACACCAGGCTGAGGGAAGGAGAATGTGTTGTCACAGCAGAATTCAGTGCCTGCTCCTCTTCCCCATTGCCCAGGTCAGTGCTGACACTTGGCCCAGGGTGGCTGCAGTCAGGCTTGTGGTGTTTTATCTGAATTTTTTCTGAAGTCACCTTCCTAGAGGACCTGTGCTCAGGGAATTGTGTTCCTGCATGTAGTACCCCAAGCTTTCAATTCCAAGCTGCCTGTGCTTGGGGAGCCCCATTTAATCTCCTGCCTGGACTGTAAATGAGCTCTATTGGGGACCTGCAGTGGCTCTACCTGCCCAGCCTCACCTGACCCTGCAGTGTCCCAGGGGAGCCTCTGTTACCTTTTCTAACAACCATGTTTTGATTTGTTTGTCTTCTCTTGCTTATCCTACTGATTCCTGGGAAGTGCTGTTTCCTCCTCATCTGTCTTGTGTTTCATATTGTTTGACTATTTCTCTGTAAGGGACCAGCTGCTGAGCTGAGGTGAAGTAGAGCATCTCCATTGACTTAAGCTGAACTTGACACTTACACCAGCTGTGAATAGGTCTGTAGTTTGTTTTTCACCATGTTTTCATGTGTTTTCTGGCTCAGTGGATATTCACCAGCATTCCTATTTTGTTTAGACTAAGCACAGGTCAGAGAAAATGTGTTTCAAGATACAGAAGCTAGCAGAAACAGCTTGGGATTTTCCTTTACTTTCATTCTCATTCCTGCAGAAATGTCAGGTTTTGAGACAAAGTCCTGTTCGTGTAAAAAGGTTAAAAGCTGTCATCTGTAGGGTCTGGAAACACCAATTGCAGCTGACAGTGACAAGGGAAGGAGCTGTGTCTTGGCTCCACATGAACAAGTCGTGGCCTGTACAACAAGTGCTGCTGGAGCTGAGGACCAAAGGGGCTCTCAGTGCACCTGCCAAACCTTGCAGCAACCACAAGTTTCTTGTGAAAAGTGCAAATTCTCACTGGGAGGTGAAATGAAAAGCATTTTCCTGTCTGGGGCTGTAGCTGGCAGCTGGAGAGACCAGTTCCATTCAGTCCTGAGAAAGGATACCAGCACACGAGGCCGGCCCTTCTGTTCTCAGCACTGCACTGCAGACTTGCTGGAGCACATGGCTTGCTTGTCGCCCTTTACAGAGACAGCTTCTGTTTGATATTGTTGACCATATTGAGAGGTTGTTTTTGGAGTGGGAGTACTGGAAAGAATACTCTTTGTAGGCAGAACAGAGAGCAAAGTGTTTGTGCCTTAGCAGGGGGGATAATTTCTAGGAAATATGCTCCCCTCTCCAGTTCAAACTGAAATCTGCTGGATCCCTGATCTCTTGAAGTCCGTGTGAAGTTAAGCATGATGCAAAAAGAAGCTCTCTAAGCATGTTTCAGAATTAGCAGTTTTCAAGTGGACTTGTTTGGGCATTTAGAAGATGGGCGCTTTTGGCTTTGCCTCCCTGAGTGTTTTGTTGAGAGCAGTTTGCACAGTGTGGTTTTCAGTCAGTGAATCTCCACGGTCCCCCCCCAGCACCTTGGTTTGCTGCAGAGTGTTTGGGTTCAGGCTGACTGGATTCCTGCTGGATAAAAGTGGCCCAGAAGCTCTGCTCCAGTTGTGCAACACGGGTGCTCCATCCCTTGCAATGGGAACACAGGGATCCAAACCAGGGATGGCACAGCTTTGAACCATGCCCTCCTAGTCTGGGGGATCAGACTCAAATCTAACCTTAAGTCATACCCCCTTAGGCCAACTACATGTGGTGTACACATACCAAATGCTTTAATCTCTTGATCTGTTCCTTGTGGTGCCAAATAACTTGCTGGTGTAGGAATAGCTTAAGCAAGAAAAGAAGAATGGTGGGGAGTCGAGGGACTGGCTTTAGTTTTTCTGATAAAGAAAGAGACAGGAGGGCAGGAAGAGGAGACATAAACCATGACCGTTATCCACATGGAAAGATTAAATAGCACAAGAGTAGCAGAGGAAAGGCCCAGAGTGTGACAGATCAAAAGAGCAAGGCCTCTGGCTGTTAGGATAAAGAATGTCCTACTTCTTGAGAACATATTTATGTGTCTGCGCACTGCGTTTTTTTAAAAGGAAATAGTTTTATTCAAAGAAAGGTCTGTTCCTTGTACAAGGGCTGTTCAAGGGAGAAATAGTGGGTGAAAATATAATTTTTACAGC